AGATTAATTTACTAATACAATTATTTAATAGTATTATTTAATTTACTTATTTGGGGTGAAGGAGTAAAAAAAATTGACAAGATTAGGGTAATTTTAAAAAAAAATTATACAATTTGAGTTTATATGTAAAATAGATTTGTGTGATAAAATGTTAAAAAAATATATTATTGTACAAGGGTATAACGGTAATTTAATTATTACCTCCCCTTCCCTCCCCTCCTAAACCAAACAAAGGATCATTAAAAACCCCTCCCCTCCCATCCCCTCTAATCAAACCAAATAAGGTATCTTAAAAACCCTCCCCTTCCCTCTCCTCTCTCCCAATCAAACAAGGCCGAAGGGGTAGAATTTAATTCAATTACTTTTGAATTCTTACTTTTTGTTTCAAATTTCTATGGTTTAATTCAATTATTTTTTAAAAATTACTTTCATATTAATATATATTTATATAATTTTTTTATTTTTAAATTGTATTTTAAATATGTATTTATTTAACATTATATATAAATATTTCCAGACTATTAAAGGGGTAGAATTTTTTTTGAATTCTTAAAATTTAACATTGTCGTTAAATTATAAAGTTAATCAATTGTATGCTCATTGTTTCAATAAAATTAAATTCATTTCTTTCTTAATTATAGTAATTACTGTTGAAATGTTAATGAATAATTGAAAAAGACATATAAATAAAATGTAAGTTACGATGTACCTGCCAAATAAATGCTTTTCTTATGAATTTGTTCCCTGAACAGTAGAAAATAAAAAATGTGGACGTAGAAAAGCAATTTTCCAATATAATGGTAAAGAAATAGGAAAGAGAGGAGAAAAATGTAAAATACCAACGTTTGTCCTAAAAAATTGGAAATTTTATTCCATTTAATTATTTTTTTATACCATAAAGAGTATAGATTCAGATGACATAAGAAATTATCTCCCTTGAAGTGTTGTAAGTAAATGATAATTTTTTTTTTTAACTAAGTTACGGTCAAGACTCAAACTCCCAATAATTTATTTAAATGATAATATCTACCATTTACTTATTTTTAATTAATTATTCCATTTAATTTTATTCGTTGTGAATTTCATTAGATAGGTTTATTGATTTTGTTTTTATTTTTGATAGTCATATCACTTTGGCAAATTGAATTTAAAAAGTCAATTCAATATTCGATTAAAAAAAACATGTCAAGTCAATATCAAACGGATTTTTCATTAGACATATATTTATATAATATATATATATATATATATATCAATCAATATATCTCGTAAAACCTCCACCAAATCATGTCATTTGAAACAAAAATAATTATGTTAAGAAAGATAATTTCAATTAAATTTGACAAATGCCGAAATCTACCCTCGATCGATTGAGAATTTGATTCTTAACATTTATACTGTTGAGCGAAATTCATCATCCATCGTCTTTCTCTCTCTCTCATTTTGAAAAATAAGCCTATTATTTGTCATTTCTCTTTTAAGAGAGATTGATTTCATTTTCCGACAAATGATACCTATGACGCATTAAAAGATATAAAATGTCTAATCTTATAATATTATGTATTATTTCAATTGAATTAAAAAGTCAAGTAAATAGAATATTCATTTTATACACCTACATATGTCAATCAGCATATCAATTAGAAAGACACTGAATTTTGATTTAACCCAAAATTTAGTCTCTTTCATAAGAAAAATTAGGTTAGGTATTGTAGTTTAGTTTTATTTAGTAATAACATGAAAATTAACAAAACCAGATTTGATTCATAGGATTAGGAGACTGATCTTATTAATCTAATATCCACTTAACTATTCTTTTCTCCATAAGAAGTAATAATTCATTTCAACCTAATAAACTTAATTAAGATAATAAAATAACTTATAATCATAATAAATCCAAAATCATTTCCAACAAGAAAAAAATATTTCAGTTACATTTCAAATAATTTAAATTTATAACTTCAACAAAAACAATATTTAACAAATTTCAACAACACTACCTTATAATAACAATTTAGAAATAAAATCAATATATCTTCATGCGATCATCTCTTTATCGTCAATTACACTTGAAGCATTTGTTAAAAATAAATAAATTATAATTATATTATACAAATTAATAGGACTAGATTGGACCAAATAGTCTAAATGCCCAATCTCTTGTTCAGTATAATTCAAAAAAATAGCCTGATCTTTTCAATTTTTTTAGTCTTGAAGGACAAGTGTTTATAAGGACTGAATAAGATAGGACAATCTTAGGTTGGATTGAAATAAAGGACTTTTACATAGTCCTAATATCAATATATCAAACAAAACCAACACTAAGTCATACTCTCTTCAATCCTATTTATAAATCACTTCTACCAACTTTATCAATACTAATATAATAAAAGTATACAGAATAATTGTGAATGAAATTTTAAATTTAACCCTCAAAATGAAAAGTCAAAGTATAGTCAGTGAATAAATTATTATTTTTCAAAATTTGTCTCTCATACTTTGATAGGTATGAGACAAAGCAGAGATTGAAGATGGTGAGAGATAGAGCATAATTTGAAGAGATTGAAATAAGCCAAAGTTAAATTTGAGACAGGTGAGTTAGAAACGTTAAAGGATTAAAGGTATTTTAGAAACTTTAATGTAAAATGCAGAGTCATCATCTCTTGATGACTTATATTGCGAACAATAATTCCCTTCTAGAAAGCGTCTAATATGTGGACTAGAGGAAGTATCATTTAAAATAGAACAATTGTGTCAAATGAAAAATTTTTAGAGAGATCTAATGCATTAGATCATTTATGGACCATGAATAATATTATAACATTCAGGTCGCATTAAATATAAATTAATTATGATATTAATAATAATAGAGAGATAAAGAAAAATAGGTATTCTATTATAAAAATAAAATAATTAAAAATAACCCTACAATGTATTTTATTTAATTGAATTAAAGAAATTTTATTGAATGAATAATGAATGATATTGTATATTGAGTTTATTTAAAATTTTCTCATGTTATTGAGAAAGGTAATTTCACCTACATTTGACAATGTCTAAACCTACCATACCTAAATCAACTTTCGAACAGTTGAAAATTTGATTCTTAAGGTTTTTACCATAAAAAAAATCTACCATTCATCTTCTTTCTTTCTCTATTTTTTTTGGCTAAAATACATAAAATTTTTTAAAATTTTGCAACAATTGTATATAACCTTTTCGCATTTAAAAGTTTAAAATTAATCTCTCTAATCTTTAATTTTATTTTACAAAACCTCTTATTGTTAATTATATTATTTTTTATGAGGGTTAAAACGTCATTCAACTAAAACATATTATTAAACAAAAATATTATATTGTATAACTATTTATAATAAATTTTTTATATTTTTTGGGGTAGTTGAGGCATTCGTAATAGCCAAAACAAATGTTATTATCACCATATAAATTTTAATTATTTACTTTTGTGTTAGTTTTTTATATTTTTTTTGTTATCAATGGTGCATAGTTTTCTAATATTAAAAGATAAATTAATCTAAGATGGTAATATTTAAAATTTTAAATATTTTAGCTATGTGCATTACATTAATCTAACATGAAAATATAAATAAAAATTTATTTTTTAAAATAATAAAATCATGCACAATTGATAATAAAAAAATATGGATAAGACTAATGTAAACATAAATATTTAAAATTTTATACAGTGGTAATAACATTTTTTTTGTTACCGATGTCTCAACTATTTAAAAAATATAAAAATTTTATTATAAATAGTTATACAATATAATATTTTTATTTACTAACATTTTTTAGTTCACTGACATTTTAATCCTCATTAAAAAATAACATAATTAATAATATAAAGTTTTAAAAAATAAAATTAAAGATTAAGGAGGCTAATTTTAAATTTTTAAAAATGAGGGAGTTTATATACAACTATTTCAAAGTTTAATGAATTTTTATGTATTTTAGCCTTTTTTAAAATAAATTTATTATTAGTCCTTTCTACTTCAAGGGAGATTAATTTCATCTTTTGACAAAAGATACTTGTAATATTAAAAAGTATAAAATACATAATCTTAAAATATTATGTTTTATTTTTAATTAACACCTAACATTTTTAATTCTTGTATTATTTTTATAACTCTTTATTATTTAATATACAGTCATCTCTCTAAAATTTAAAAAAAGAGAGAGTAGATAGAGTCTAGTTGACAAGAATTGCTAGTCTTACAAAAGGTTTTAAGTTTGGTTTTTTGAAATGATAAATAGATTTTTTTTAAAATAAAAAATAATAATTTAATCTCTTGAAATATAATAATTCTTTCAAAAAAATTTAATTATTATTAAAAGTTTTGATGAAATGATAAAAATATACTTTAATTTAAAAAAGTGAAGAAAAATGGTAAGAGAAAGTTATGAATATTTAAATCATTTTAATCATTTATTGAATTAAGCTTGTAAATTTTAAAATTAAAGTTGTAAATGAAAAAAATTTATTATACCCTGCTTATTGAAAAAAAAATGGTGAGAGAAAGTTATGAATATCTAAAACACTTTAATCTTTTATAAAACCAGATTTATAAATTTTAGAATTGAAGTTATAAATGAAAAAAACTTTATTGCATTTTATTGATTGAACAAAAATGATGGGAGAAAATTAAAAATGTCTAAACTACTTAATCATTTGTTGAAATAACATTATAAATTTTAAAAATGTTGTGAATGAACAAAATTTTATTACACTTTTTTAAATTATAGAGCATTTTTATTTAATAAAAAACTTTAATAACAATGAGGTATTATTTTTTTTAATTTTAAAAGGATTTATTTATTATTTTCTCCATTTTTATTTGGCCAGACATTTGTCAAATGTACGTCCCCGGTATTTCGACAAATATAAAAAAAATGTTTGATTCTAAATAATGACCTAAACTTTTTTCGGTAAAAAGAAGAGCAGTTTCAATGTTTCATGAACAAGAATTGATTGAATTGGCCGGACGATGGCGGGATATTAATCAAAGATTTAGACACGAAGGCGAGCGAGATTGTTTAAATGGCGGCGAGTAGCGAGGGTAACAGTACAGTCAACGCTCTCGTATTGTGTAAAAAGTCGTAAACGAAGCTTCTTTGGTCCCAGGTTTTCTGTGTCTTTTCTTGAACTCTCCGTCCTCTCTCTGTGTTGGCAGACATTCCCCTCCTGCTTCATTTGCCTCCTCGTCGTGCCTGATCACTTCGAGGCTTTTGGCAATGGCAACGATCAGTCTGTCTAGGGGGATGTCTTTTTTAAAATCGGACGCCACCAGACCTTCTGATCTCTCACATTTGAAATACGTGAGTGTTCCGGTGTTTCGTTCTGAACCCAGAACGGAATGTCTTCGCCGGAAAGTTTTTGCCGGGCCGTTGGCGAGGACCATCGAGCACGCCCAGAGAAGCGAAATATCGTCCCCTAATGGTTCTGCGACCATTGTAAGTTTGATTTTGTTTATTTATTGTGTTCATGAGTTTTTTTGTGATGCTCTGTTTGCTCTGGGTGTTTTCTGTGTTGTCATGGTGATGTGAAAATTTTAAGAATATAACTTTTTCGTTGGCTACGTAAAAATAGGAGGTTTGAACAGTGATTTGTCGCTTTTGTAATCAATCGACTGAGGTAAAAAGGTTTATGACTAACATTGATTTGAATTTGTGTTTTTAATTGTTCTAGTAATTGGTCCAGGAATAATACAGTTTACCTTTTTAGTCTCAATCATAACATCGTTCGACCATATGGCTATAAGCCTTTAACTTGCGCTTCGGTGATCGTAGAAAGTTCGGAGAAATAACAAAATAATAAGGATGAATCTGAATTATTTCGATATCTTTCAATCAATGAATTGCTAGGATCTCTGCTGCAACTGCGCATTAAAAAACAAAAATAAAAATAAAAAAAATGAGAAAGAAGGGGTGGGCCGAGTAATACGAATTAGCTGTTTTCAGAGTTTAGTAATAAGCTTGGTTGTTGATGTTGATATCATGTAAATATTGCGGATTGTCATAAATTTTACATTGGATATTGATATTCGTTGATATTTTACTTGATTTAATCTCTTAAATAGACTTGTATCCATGATCTAATATGAATGATATTACTGAAGTTTTATAGCTTTACAATTTTTAACTGAAAATTTTTGAACTTCTCACACTTACAATTACCAAGCACCTGATTACTGCCTTGTAGTTATCCTATGCGTAGGCTTGTTGTTTACTGAAATAAATTCCTAAAGAGTCATTTATAGGAAAATTTCATCCCTCCTCCTAAACTTTACTTGGAGAAGTAATACTATATTAACAATACATTCTAGTTCTAGACTCATGCTACACGTTGATGCAGAATTTATCTGTGGATGTACAACTAGTTAAAGCTTCTTTTCTTTCAGAGTAAGAATAATGGTTTATCATATTTCATGACTGGCATAATGAAGACAAATCTTCTATGTTAAGGGTTTGGTGATATTAACTAACACTCACACATAAATGTAACTATATATACCCAAGGATTGGTATATTTTGGCATATTTAAGAATAAAAATACCGAAGTCCTATTTGAACAGTGTTTAAACATATTTGAAAAGAATCTAAGAAGTGTGAAAACTAAAGATTTATTGCTGTTTTAAAGAGTACATTTTAATGCATTGAGTCTCATTATTTGACACATCCAACATGGATTGAGCTCTAACGAGAATCTTGGTACTTCAAAGGCCCTGAAACTGCTACATCTGGCTTCTTCTTTTTTGTTTTCCCAAATATTGTCTTGTACTGTTAGATGGGATCATCAAACCATGAAATATGGTTTACAGTTTCTAATGCATATTCTAAATATTTGCTGTCTCATTTTCTTAAACTAGGTCGAGGCAAGCTCTTTGCTGGAGCTGCAGTCTCTGCATCATGCTGTGGGTCAGGCGGGGGCAAATTCAGATGCACATAGGAAGACTAAGATTGTATGTACAATAGGTCCTTCTACCTGCTCACGTGAAATGATTTGGAAACTAGCTGAATCTGGAATGAATGTGGCACGTTTAAATATGTCTCATGGGGACCATGCATCACACCAGAAAACCATCGATTTTGTAAAAGAATACAATAACCAGTTCAAAGACAAGGCTATAGCTATAATGCTTGACACCAAGGTAATCTTTTCTCTTATCTGTATTTCCACTCTCTCCATCTAATTGCATTTCAACCATTGAAGCAGACCAAAATATTAAAAGTAGAGGAAGACCAAAGAGAACACTCATGTAAATTGTTAAACAAGACTTTTTAGTTAATAATATTTTCAAAGGCTTAGTTGATGATAAAGTACAATGACGTTGTGCAATCCATGTATCTAACCCTACTTAGTGAGATAAGGTTTGTTGTTGTTGCTGCTGCTGCTGCTGCTGTTGTTGTCATAGTTTGTCCTTGTTTTCTTATCTTTAGGTGAAGAGAATTATCTTGTTAAATGTGCGCGCGCGCACGTGTGCACAGATGGTAAATGTTCACTTATGTAATATGGTAAATGCTGATCACGATAAAAAATAAATAAATAAACAAACAAATGCTTAGACTTCAATGCTCGATTTCTGCCTGCACTGCCTTTGCTTCCCTTTCTCCAGTCATACTGCTTATTTCCTTTTAACAGATGCATGAGCTGATTTTCTTCACAGGGTCCTGAAGTTAGAAGTGGGGATGTACCTCAACCAATTTTTCTTGAAGAGGGACAGCAATTCAATTTCACCATTACAAGAGGGATCAGCACAGATGACACAGTCAGTGTAAACTATGATGATTTTGTGAATGATGTGGAGGTTGGAGACATAATACTGGTTGATGGTAAGTATGAACATTTCTTGCATGTGTTGAAGACAAGAAGTGGATTGTGTATCGTGCATGGCAGAAATACTGCTACAACTTCTGTCATGTATAAAACTTGGAACAAAACATATATTGTTAATTACTGAATATTGGATTGTTGCTGCTGATTCTATGCTTTGTGTTTGAGCAGGCGGAATTTTGTCATCTATTGTGTTGGTGATAGAGTACCGGGATAATGGGTGATGTAGGGTGTTTATAGAAATATTAGGAATAATTATTATTTTCAAGTTATTTTAGATATTATCTATTTGATAGTATTTTTTAGATTATTTTTCTGTTTTGTTGAGTGGTCCTTAAATTTAGGAGTACTGGGTATTGTAGATTATGTTTGTCATTTTATTTATTTATTTATTTTTCTAATAGTTATGCCCCATTATCTGAGTTATGGATTAATGGGAGTATTTTTGGGAAATATTAATCATTTTTCTGCCTATAAATACTAAGGCACAACATGTAGAAATCATCTGGAAATATGATCATTGTTTTGTTATATCAGTGGAGATTCTACTTTGCCTTTATTAATCATATGAGTTTAAGATTCTTACTTATCTTCTATTAAAGATTTTCATTTATCTTTATTAATGATGTTAGATTTTGATTTCATATTTTAATAAAGATTTATCTTCCTTATTTATCTCTACCTATCTTGGAGCCTATCAGTCAAATGATCCCTGTCATTAGTAATAGATTTTGATGATTTGAATCTCTCAGTAGCCCTAGTTTATTAAATTGGTGCATTAATTATCCGTAGATAAAATCTGAGCTGCATCTGGTATGTGTTTTATAGGTGGAATGATTTCTCTTGCTGTCAAGTCAAAGACGAAAGACTTGGTTGAATGTGAAGTGATTGACGGTGGAGTACTGAAATCTCGGCGTCATTTAAATGTTCGTGGAAAAAGTGCAACACTTCCTTCCATAACTGGTATTATTCAGTTTTATTTGTTTATCGCACATCATGCCTTTCTTTGTTGGCGTTTTTGTTGTATGAATTTGACATTGATAATCTCTTCTTTCCTCTATCATTTTCACAGACAAGGACTGGGAAGATATCAAATTTGGTGTGGATAATGAAGTAGATTTTTATGCTGTTTCATTTGTGAAGGATGCTAGAGTGGTTCATGAGTTAAAGGACTACCTGAAAAGTACTTTTCTAGATATCTATCATCTTTCTGAGCTTATTCTCTGGGTGTGTGCTTCTGTGTGCGTTAAATCTCTTCCTTCTTTTTTCATAATAAAATTATTATAAACCTCTTTTATAGGTCACAATGCCGATATACATGTGATTGTAAAAATTGAGAGCGCAGATTCTATACCAAATCTTCAATCAATACTTTCAGCTTCAGACGGGGTTAGCTCCTAACTCAGATTTTTGGCTTATGTTCTTTAAAAAAATTGTGGTTTTCTTGTGCTTGCCTGTTTCTGTTCTGTTGCCAATTTATTTGTTTCTTTAGAGGGTGTACTGTAATGGCTTTCTTGTTTTATATTTATGGTTAACTTATCTATGCAAAAGGACTATGTCATGCACATGCATAGTCCTTAAATCCCAATCTCAAAGATTTGATCAATGCACTCTTCATTAGACATCTTGTCAGCTAAAAAAATGCAACTGTTTGACATATGCAAAATTGAAAAATTGTATTGTTCATGCCAACTGAGCTCTTGCGGAAACTAATTTAGCTTAGTCAAAATTTATGCCTGGTTTCTCCATAGCGGTCTCAAGCCTGAACTCTATTCTGGAGTAAATATATCAAACGCAGTAGAGTGATATCATGATCTTTATCTACCATGTAGCTGATAGAGTGCGGCGATCTATATATTGTAGAGGGAATAAGAAAGAGTGGAAGAAAGTTAACACCAGCTCAACAAGAAGCAGTCAGTGTCAGTTAATTAATAGGGAAAATAGCAACCAAGGACCTCAGTAGTAAATTAATATTAGTCAAGGACCAATTGACTTCAAAATTACAATACATTTCTTTGGTTCTTGACTGATATTAATTTGTGAGGTCAAAAGACCAAATTGCCCCTTAAGTTAAAAAAAAAAAAACCCACCTCCCTATTGTAGCCGGCGTTGGCTGCCGGATTGCTGTCGAACCCCTGCTGGCGGCGAGGTTGTCGGTGTCCAGAGTCGCTGGCAGCTGGCCATTGGAACTCCAATGCCAGTGACATTTATTTCAATAAATATTTGGTTTAGGTGGTCGAGGGAGGGTTTGATGGGAGAATGACAAAGAGATCCCAAAAGGATCAATTAATTCAAATTAGGTCTTAATTGTCAAACTTTAGAAATTTGCAACTCACTTTTTCAATTTTAAAATTATGTTGTGATGAATTTATAACTTGTTTTTCAAATTTTAACATGGTTGAAAAATAAAAAAAATTATTTTTCCTGTTAAAATTTGGAATACATGTAGCAAATTCATCACAATGGAGTTGTAAAATTGAGAGATTAAGTTGCAAATTCCTGAAATTTGGCACTTGGGACCTAACTTGAATTAAATGATTTTTTGGGGACTTCTTTGTCATTATCCCGGGGTTTGATCCCTTGACCCCTTGGCCATTTAGAAAGCTTGGTGGCCACTAGACCACCACACCCTTTAATTATATGTGTAAAGAAAAAATAAATAAATAAATAGTAAACAAAGCTTCTATTCACTTCCATATTATAATATAACAATATGTTGTTAATTCATGAACTGTGATTGTTATTTTACTAATGTTATTTATTAATCTGCCATGAACAATTACAAATTGAGAGCTTTAAAACTTCATGCATTTTTCTCATTAAACATCCAAATGTATTGTTGTTAATCACTAATAGGTTGTCAAAACCCGAACAAATATTTATTGATGAAAGACTAATAGTTATATAATTAAGCTCATCCTATTAGTTTTTCTAACATGTTAGACTCGAATGGAATGTTGTTAATTTAAAATGAGTTGCTAAAATTTAAATGAATATTTGTTGATAAAAGACTAACATATACAATTATGCCCATCTTATATTTTTTTTTAGCTTGTTAAAACTTGAATGGACTTTTATAGGATTGTACGTGTTAGTTTTTTATGAACAGGTGTCCATTTGGTTTTTAACAAGTTATTCTAAATTAACATCAGTCCATTCTGGTTTTAACAAGTTAAAAAAAATGAATTTGATGGACTTAATTGTATATGTTAGTCTTTTATCAACAGGTATACATTTGAATTTTAACAATAAATAATTCTAAATTGACAACAGTACATTCAAACTTTAAGAAGTTAAAAAAATGGATATGATGAGCATACTTATACGTGTTAGTCTTCCATCAATAAGTATCCATTCGGGTTTTAACAATAATTTATTTTAAATTAATAACAGTCCATTTAGGCTTTAACAAGTTTGAAAAATGGATACGATGAGCAATTGTATGTATTAATCTTTCATTAACAAGTATCCATTTAGGTTTTAACAATAACTTATTCTAAATTAACAACATTCCATTCGAGATTTAACAAGTGAGAAAAACGGATATAATGTGCTTAATTTTATGTTAGTCTTTCATGAACAAATATTCATTTGGGTTTTAATAACTTATTTTAAATTAACAACAGTCCATTCTCACTTTAACAAGTTAGAAAAAATGATTGGATGGGCTTAATTGTACAAACGTTAGTCCTTTATCAATAAGTGTTCATTCGAGTTTTGATGATAATCTATTAGTGATTAATAACAATACGTTCAGACATTTAATAAGTAAAATGCATGAAGTTTTAAAGCTCCTAATTTGTAATTGTTTATGTCAGATTGACAAGTAACATTAGTAAAATAATAAGTGTAGTTCATGAATTAATAACACATTGTTGTGTTATAACATGAAAGTGGATAAAAGCTTGGTTTACTATTTATATTTTTTTTGACATATATAATTAAAGGGTTTGGTGGCCTAGTGGGGTCATGGGATCAGACCCTTCCTTGGCCACTTAAACCAAATATTTATTGAAATAAATCTTGCTAATGTTGGAGCTTCAGTGGATAGCCTTTAGTGGGGAGGTAGCTTTTTTTTTTAAATAACTTTTAGGGGCAATTTAGACTTTTGACCTCACAAATTAATATCAGTCAAGTACCAAAGGACTGTATTGCAATTTTGAAGTCAATTAGTCTTTGACTAATATTAATTTGGTACCAAGGTTCGAGGTTGCTACTTTTCCAAATTAATATTTAGACCAACAGTTATTAAGAATTTTAGCATTATATGCATTAGAGAAGCAGTCTTTTAGCACTTCAGTATAACCTCCCATGTTCTCCATGTTTACAGCATACGCACACCACCTTCGAGTCTAATATTCAGTTATTATTTGTATTTTCTTTGGTAGTGGTCACTATAAATACATGTAGCAAACTAGGTAGAGAATGTCTTGAATTTCTACGAACTTGTATTTGGAGATTTCATTTGTATGTGAGTTGAGATTCTTTCTCATTTTCCTGCCAAAGATTTTCCCCCTTTTCTTCCTATCTCCCTATTTCACCATAAATGTTCCTTTTACTTTGTAGGCCATGGTTGCTCGTGGGGACCTCGGAGCTGAGCTTCCAATAGAGGAAGTTCCTTTACTGCAGGTTTGTGATTCTTACAGAAACATCTTATAGATGCCACCATAAAAATCGGTGGAGTTTGTTGGATGACTTGGATTGTTTAGGGTTTCAAGTAAGCAGTATGAAATGTAGAACTTATGTAACATTCAATGTAAACTACACACTTGGAATCTGAGGTGAGGGATATATGCTGCATTCAAATCTTAAGCTTGTTTCTGTTCATTGTTTTAATACGGTTTCCGTATCAAATGTGCATAATGTGAAATGTTGTTTCTACCATTCGTGGCCTTAAATTTCCTTGGAAAAAATCTATTTTCTTGTAAGTGATATTTTGAGAGTATGATGGTGTTTAATTTGGTATTCTATTTGAAGTATATCCTTTTTTAATCAAACAGGAGGACATCATAAAACGATGTCACAGTATGCAAAAGCCGGTGATTGTCGCAACTAACATGCTCGAAAGCATGATCAATCATCCTACGCCAACAAGGGCAGAAGTCTCAGACATTGCAATTGCTGTCAGACAGGGTGCTGATGCAATCATGCTTTCAGGGGAAACCGCACATGGAAAGTAAGTTTGATATATTCAATTTTACCTTTACTCAAGACATACCTTTTTTTTTTTTTTTTTAAAGAAGTGAACTACAAAAGGCAAAGGTAAAGTGGTTAAGCTTTTTTTACGGAAATTTTAAATCATTATTGACATTCTACATATGATGTAGTTAAATAAATACCTATAGATCCACTTTCCATCGAATATGTGTACGTCCTTTGAAATTTCATATCTGGCTTTGGATGACGTGCTTGGTTAATTGTGTTGTACTTATATTTATAATATGTTGTATCTTTGGATGGTTACAAATTTCCCCAGATATCCATTGAAAGCCGTTAATGTAATGCGTGCTGTGGCATCAAGGATTGAGTCAAGTGTTCGGAGTAGTTTTGATCCTCCTAATCAGTTGAGTTCCCATCAGGTATTTGCTTATTTCAGGAAGAAATCATCCTTCCTCTTCCCTTAAGTACGATTCATTTTTCCAAGTGGTAAACTTCACAAATACCCATATTTGATTTCTACTCTTCGAAAACATAACTAGTTGATGTTTATATTTTGACAGAGCGATTTGGGAAAAATTTTTGCTTTACATGCGACAACTATGTCTACCACCCTTAACATTCCCATAATGGTTTTCACCAGGACAGGGTCTATGGCTGTTCTTTTGAGCCATTATAGGCCTTGCTGTACCATCTTTGCATTCACAAATGAGTGAGTAGCATATGTAATTTTCATTTTGGGTCCTCTTTATTTTGGGTGATTTTGGCTCTGCAATTTTTATTTAATATGTTTTAATCACTTGCAGGGAAAAGATTAAGCAGAGGCTGGCACTTTATCGTGGTGTGATGCCAATATACGTGGAATTTTCAGACGATGCAGAAGAGACTTTCTCTCGAGCCCTCAAGCTGCTATTGGTGAGTATTAGTATAGATCTCCATGATTGGCATAATTTGGTATTCTTTCCCTTAATGGCTTCTTATGTAGTGGATGTTAATTTTTGTGATTCAGGATAAGGGGCATTTGGAGAAGGGACAGCATGTTACACTTGTCCAAAGTGGTACAAAAGCAATCTGGCGTGACGAATCCACTCACCAAATACAAGTTCGTAAATCTTCATGAATGAAAATCATCTTTGAAGATAATAGAATTGTATTTTTTTTATTCAATTGTGCGTTATATTTTTTCTCCCCCAATTGTTTGTAATATTTTTTAAGGTTACTGGTTATTACAACATAGTAAAGGATATGTGAAACACAACAAATGGATGCTCCAGGAATTGCTGAATCCAAATTAGCCAATTCGTTGATTGACATTGCTGTGCCTGCTTAAAGTTCTCTGACTATTTGTTTTGTTGACATATTTGAATTAGAATGGAATCCTTCTGATAGAAAAAAAAAAAAAGAATATAGAATCCTTTATAACTCTCATGGAAATTACAGTTGCACATTTAACTCTTTGGTTCAAAAGACAAAGGGACTCTTCAAAGCCTTCTTATGCACAAACTATTTCCAAGATTGTTGTTACCGTTGCCTTTAATTGTCCATTGGAAAATTAGACTTGGAAGGAGCATGATGCATCCTTCTCTTCACGTTTGGCTTGCAAATGTATATAACTATGCCACTTTGCACAAGCAATATAAACGACCAAGTCTAAGGTTGTCAATGCAGCTAGAAGGAAGTAAAACCTGTCTAGATGACCTTTGTTTAGATTTCCAGGAATCCATCCAGGCTTGTGGTTTTTAGAGGATAAGCTCATAACTATGCTGACTATTAAATTACTCGCATAGTTCCCAAGTGACATTGATGTCATGCACAATGCACTCCCAAAGCTCTTTAATCCATCCGGGGTTTGAGCGTTGAAGAATTCCAATTGCCCCACATACATGAAAACCTCAGACGCTCCTATCAGTACATACTGAGGGACTTGCCAGAAGATGCTCAAAGAGCTTTGGAAGCCTTGTTCTGCATACTTGAGCCTATAAAACTCTACCATACCAGCTGAAACCATTGCCATTGCTGCTATAATAAGGCCAATCCCCATTCTCTGGAGCTCAGTGAGTCCCTTGGAACGGAATTGTTTGAGGTTCTGGACAAGTGGATTGATAACACGTCGGTAGAGGAAGATGACGAAAGCAACACTGAGGATGTCAAAGCTCGACATGCTTGCCGGTGGTATTCTGAAATCAGATATAGTGGTTTTCATGGCAGCGCCTTGCTCAACAAAGAGGGAAGCCATTTGTGTGAAAACCACTGAGTACATAATGGTGCAAAGCCATATTGGAATTAGTCTTAATACACATTTCACTTCGTCTACTTGAATGATGGGGCAAACACGCCAGGGGTTGTAAAGGCCTCCACTGATCTTGTCTTCTAGATCTCTTGTTGATATAAGTGCTGCCCTATCCAAGCATCTACAACACACAGGATGATGGCAGAATGAGTCAAAATCAGCTCCTATTCTTCATTCTTCAATGCTATACAAACCAATACTTATAGTCCCATCACAGCAATTCATATTATATCCAAGTCAAAATAGAATTTTGTTTTCTTCATTTTAAACCAATACTTACTTGAAGCCATGGGGGCGGAGAATCTTTTTGTTGCCATTGTGATTAGAATCCTTGTCGTCCATGCCATACAAACCCTCCCCATTGGGTGGTACTTTGGCTCTCCACTTAAGTGATGCAGCAACAAGCACTTGACAGAGTCTGGAGAAAGGATTCCCTCTGAGTTTAAAGTGCCTGTACCTTGGAGTGCCAACCATAAACAACACTAACGCAGCAAAAGCAGCTCCAGTAGAAACCCAGAACCCGACAGCCCACAAACCTCCATCCTCAAAGTATACGAGAAATGTGTTCGAGATCAGAGAACCTAGGTTCAGTGCTAGATAGAAGTAACTGAAGAAGGCTACCTTTGAGTTTCTCTCTTTAGAGTACCCTCCATCGAACTGATCAGCCCCAAATGTTGCTATATTTGGTTGATACCCTCCATATCCTAGAGCAATGAGATAGATTGAGATGTAGAACATGGCAATCTCCAACCTTGAATGTTCCCAACATTGTATTGACTCTTTCCCACAATCTTTTGGTCTGATCAAGAACAGGTATGATGACAGCGACAAGGATCCCAAACCCTGTCACAAAGTAATCAAGACTTTGATATTACCGACTCACTAAATGTCTTGTGAGAATTTCTGGATAAATGAAATGATTAGCAGTGATTACTTACCATTACAAAGATGACTTGAAAAACAGCACAGGTTTTGTACCTTCCCCAATAAGAATCGCTTAGAAATGCTCCCGCAAGAGAGAAGAGGTAAACAGTTCCAGTCCACGTGCTTACGTTGTTTGCAGCATCAGCATTGGTTTGGTCTAACACTCTTGTCAGGAACAGTACGAGGTTCACTCCAATCCCAAATAATGCTAGCGTTGCCAGACCTTGGTTCACTATTTCACATCACCAGCAAAATAGAGAAACAAGCAGTCAGTGTTTGCTTTTTCTATCTTCTATTCGTGCACCAGTTACAAATATGCAAGTAGTATCTATTCTACACTATAGCTAAACAAAATCTAGTAGGTTCTGCTTGCTTCAGTGCCAAATATGCCTTGCTTATCATGGACAAAGAAAATTAATTTCTTAGCCACAACAAGAAAAAACTTTATCTCACAAAGTGAGGTCTGTTATATAAATTGCTCGATGCCATTATGTTCAACAACTAAACTTTTGAAAATATTATTAATCAAAAGATTTTGTTCACAAGAAATTTGGTTAAGATCACCATGAAAATACAAGAAACCGTGGGGAAAATCAATCAAATGCCTGGTTAAATAAAATGGTAGGTATATCTGAAAAGTTACTTAATTCTTCACTTCGTCACTATCAAGTGTGACATGTGCTGTTTGTTTGCAGGCACATGCAAAGAGGCATCTTACATTGTAGCTTGTGCGATTGTGACAATCTTGTTTTCCTTAAACTGTTTTATATGAATTTGTGCGTGTGTATGTGTGTGTAGCAGCAATAATTTATCGTTTATGAACCTGAGCTCTCAGCTTCCTTTCTAAGCGGTCGAGACAAAATGCAGAAATTCTAGCATTTACTTGTCATGAATCCAAGCCTCTGACACGTAGCGGCGATCCACTGATATGATCAAGTCCCTGTACTGACTACGTGTCGTGCTCGTATTTCTTTCAAATGCATGCAGTTGCTTCCTTATTATCACTCCCTTCCCAATTCCCACAATTCTAGTCGTCTTGTGGGTTATTTTGGAAGTGAATAATCTTGCGATTCAGACACAGCCAAAAGCCTCCATCAATATATATATATATATATATAAAATTATAATTCGTAAAAAAGGATATATGGTAAGGTAGCACCGAGCCTAAATCTGGTAAGGAGTTGAGGAGTTGCTCCTACCTAACCAATAATGTCAAGTTCAAATTCTGAAAATGTAATAGCATCATAAATTGGTGGTAGAACTCACTGCCAAAAGGGTTCTACAATGTTTTATCTGGATTAATCTAGCTTCCGAGCAGCCTAGAATACTGGACCGACAAGTAAAAACTGGATATATTGTTAGGGAGGGAATAAGGTCTGTGAATCCGAACCTTTGTATATATAACTTAGTTGAGAGGGTCTATCATTTGCTTTCCGTACCTTGAGAGAGATTATCTTACCTCGTACTTTCCAAAAAAAAAAAAGAAATACGCCTCCCAAACCATAATATAAGTTGTTTTTTTTTAAAGTATCCTTTGATCTAAAATATATGATATTGGGTAAATTTATATTTTTTTTAATTTATTTTTTTTATATTCCTTGTCTTTATTTAAAGACAATGCATGTGTTACTAGAAAAACTTAAGGGCATAAATGTAAAGATGTAGGCATCTTTGGGAAAAACAAGATTTTAACTGATATTTTTTTATAAAATATGAATTAATTATCAATTGTATATAATATGGTCCGGAAGAAATAAAGGTCCGGTTAACATCACACGTGTGGTTCGCTAAACCTCTCTTTCACTACTTATATATCAGGTTGATCAGAGTACTGTCAGAATCCAATTCACTCAACCTCGGTGATATCTCTAGAAGGAGCTATGGGCTATGCCCAATTAAGCATGAAGCATGCAACAAATTAAGCTGAAAGCCTGAAACATTTGGTCTGTATTTTCTGATCCAAAACGTTACACGTACGACACTGCACATTAATTAAGCTGTCGTTTTCTTCCCATCTGGAGCCTATCAGACGATTAAAGAGCTTGTTCATTTGTGAAGAGTCCCAGAACTAAAATGCTAGCGGCTTCCTCTTATAACTCCTGAATCCTGATAAGTTATCTAGAATACGTTTCTCCTGAAACAGGACTCTTCAAACTTACTTACATTGCAGCAACATTTTCCCTCAAAATCTGTGTGGGATATTTATCTGATTGTTTAATTTTGATAGAAGTATTGAGACTGAGATCGATATTTACCAAGTGCAAGAATTCTATTAAGTTACTGAAAATTATCTCCCTGAGGACAGAAAAACTTGTCCTCATAAAATGGATTCCAAAGTCTTGCATTGATAATTAATTACGTGACTTCAAGCACCACAAGATCATTGATAATAGAGATTAATATGAGTTTTGTTTGGAGATAGAACTTACAGAGTATGATAATTCCAGCAATCCATGTTCCAGACTTAGCCCTGACTGCCGATCGACCTCGCCAATCAACACTTCCATCAACAGTGTACGCTTCTTCTTCTTCTTCCTCCTCTTCTTCGAAGAACTTCATGTTCTGTTAGTCCCAACACGTATATATCACATCACTTGGCCTTTATTTATTATCACACACACGCACTCACACAAATACACACACACTTTCTCTTCTAATCATGGTCAAATCAATCGAACAGAGAAATACTGAAGAAAAATTAATGAGAAAAAAGCAATCTTGACAAATAAGGAAGAACATTAACCTGTAAGCAGTCCATTGTTAAATGCTGATATGAACGAGAGTAAGTGTAAAGGCCTTTATTATTTGGGTATAGAGCTGGGAGGGACTGAATATATATATATATATATATATAGCACCGAATTAAGGGTGGCATGCATGAAACGGTGCAGAAAGCAGTGGAAGACGCAATCACACAAATCGTCAGTGATTATTGTTATTATTGTTCTTGTTAACGTAAATGTCATTAAATTTTAGGTTAAGATGCAATTTTACCTATAAATTATTTGCAGAGAAATAATATTACTCCTAAATTACTTATCGTAGTGATGTTGCCCCTAAACTAACTAAATCAGAGCAATGTTTCCTGCCGTTTAAACATTGATTATTGTAGCAAACCCACTTTTCATGAGTTAAGGTGTAATTTTTTTTTAAATTTTTTTCAGAAAAGTAATGTTGCCCTTGCCATTTAAAAATTATAAACGTCTGTTAACTGTAGTTAATGGGACTTATTTTTCATTATCACTCTAGTTAACATTGAATCAAGTTGAGATTTCAATTAGATTATGACATTCCAATTACTGGATTGGTTTTTGGATAACTACTTTATGATGGTCTATGTATAGGCTTTTTTTATTTATAATACATATGAGAGAATATATTTATTTATGATAGTTAATTTTGTAGGTTGATTCATTCAAACGATAAGAAGCGACATTTTTACTTAGAAATGTTATTTATATGATTTTTGTTAGATCAAGAGCTCCTTTTGTAGTATTATTAGTGTGAATTTATACTTCAACTATTGTCATATTTGTTATCGAAGAAAATTAGTATAAAAATTGAGCTTCTTTTCAAGGTATAATTCATGACTTATTGAAATGTTGGTAAAAAATATTATGATACAAATATTAAATGTTAGAAAGGATGTGAATAAAATGGCACTAGTACAAAAAATACTTTTCATTATCTTTTTCTAGCTAATGAACTTTTATGATTTTTAAATGGTGGGGGCAATATTGCTCAGTTTAATTAGTTTAGGGAAGATATTGCTCCTTTAAGAATAATTTAGGGGTACAATTGCCCCTTAATTCATGAAAAGTGAATTTTACTAACTATAGTTAACGGACGTTTAAATAATAGGGACAACACTGTCCCAATTTAATTAAATTAGGGGCAACATTGCTCGTTCGAGAATATTTTAAGGACAAAATTACATCTTAATCCTTAAATTTCCTTGGATTGAAATGTGAGACAGTAAGTATACTATTGAAAACCGATCGACCCAATTGATGGGTTGAATCATTTGCCTTGACTGGTTCAACAAAATATTTTATTCATCATAAGTTTGATTATGATTTAATTATAATTTTGATTATTAATCCGTGAACTAGTATATTTTAATTGGTTTGGTTTTCAATAGCCACACATAGTATCGGTATTTTTCTTAGCATTGCATACATAATATCTTTTTAATCCTATAATGAATGATAAATTTATCCCCTGGCACTAAGTAATTAATTTCAATTGAAGTGTTTAGGAAAATTTATGTATAATCTTTGAATATTATATATATATATATATATATATATCCTCCTTTACTTGCACAAGGAAAATAAGTACTTAATTAGTTACTTGCATTTGCATGTATAGTTAAGGACGGCCATCTACTTATTAGAACAGCCATATATGTATTTCATGTTTTTAATATATTCTTAAGTTACTTATTGCCGAATAAATTATGTGTTTAATTCATCATTTCAGCTGGCTTAATAGTTAACCCCAAACATACACTAATGACTAAGAATACGCACAGTTCAATTTTTTAAGATTCCAACCTATCACATTCTTAATTGTCTTAGGTAACTTAAGACGAAACATGGCGATCGCCATCGGATTGTCTCCGATATACGAATTGCATATTTTAAATAAATATAAACATAAAAAAATATGAAATTTTAAATGTCATTAATTAACTTATTGTTGGGGTATAAACTAGTTAAAAGGATCTTATAATACTAAACAAAAGAAATAAATCACTGAACATGCAAAGAACCAAGAAAAATTAATTATATCATTAAAATTGTCTAAAAGTTGCTTTAATTTTTATTTTAATAAATATTGTAAGAAAATTATTTATCTCTCCGTTAAAAATTCAGAAGAAAGTAAAGTATATTTGGAAAAAAAATTAATGCTGTTCAAACTATTGCAAAGTAACTTAAATTTAGAATCACAAAATTATTATAAAAGACAACTTGAACACAATATAAGATAGGAGAGAGTTTTTTTTTTTTTTTTTTTTTAAGGCTAAGGCCAATTAATTAAGATCGTTATTACATGGCTCCTTGTCCACAGTTTTTCACGCTTGTACGTGCCAATCTTATAGTAGCTTACATCAAATTTTGCAACATCTAGTTATGATCATGACTTGACACTTTATTTTGATCAAACAATATACTTAGATCGTCTTCACATAATTCCCCTTTTGATGGACCTCGTTTAATTCATTATTGTCCAACGATATTATGTGTGTGTGCATAAATGTTGGGACAGGGTTTGAGGGTGTAAAAGTGAGCATGTAATGAGTAAGATGAACCATGGAATTCAAGATGAATTATTAGACAATAATGAAGGAATAGGTTGTCGTGAGAGACATAAACGTGCTCATTGATATCTATTTTACTCCATTTGGTCAAAAATACAAGTATTTTTTAACAATAATTTGCATTCCAATACAATTCTTATTTTCATGAATATATATATATATATATATATATTGCTTTTAATTTTTTTATTGTTATTTTTAATTTATGATGAGTGAGATTGTAGTGGCAGTGCCAAAACCTTGGGCTATGGATGCAACATTTTAAAAATTAATAATTTAAAAATAAATAAAAAAATTTGGAACTCAAAATCTTTAAAATTGAGTTAAGTGGTGCACAATATTTGAGTCAAGAGTTGCAAAATATTAAAATATATGGACTTTTTTGGTAATTTTTTTCAAAATCAAGGGGTGCATTTGTCTTCTTGAATATAACGTAGCCGCCCATGAGAGGAAAGAATATCATTAATCAACAGATCTTGAGTTTAATAAAAAGGACTAATTTCTTATAACATAATAAACCAAAGTTCAAATTTTATTGAAAGAGATACTCGCTGTGAACACCGTATTTTGTCTGGGCATTTTTTTTAATTTAATAGTAAATAATCAAAAAAATATAAAAATATAAAAATGAAATTTAATCCTTTTTTAGGATTATATTTTCAAAATAATCTTGCTTATTTTTTTTAAAGTCTCTCTCAAATTATCCCAACTATTCAAAGATATTGGGAATCAATTTTTTTTGAGACTCGACTATTTTTAAATTTCTCTCCTTAAATCTTTTGTTTTCCATTTATATTTTAAAATTAGACTTTTCTTTCTCTTCCTCAATCCAATTAATAAAAAAGGTATTAAAGAATGGCTAAAAAAAAAGAAACAATACATGCAGCATGAACACACGAAACACACGTACACACACACTTTCGGCCATGCAGCAGAAAAAGAAGAAAATAGCAAAAACAGAGACATGAAACAGCAGTAAAGAAGCACGTATGAAGCACGCATGAAGCATAGACCATAGAGAAAAGCACAGAAACACAGAAGAAAATTTAGACGCATGCACACAACAGAGCAGAGCGAGAAAGCACGTAAACTCTCACCTCACACACAAACTCTTCCCTGTTTCTGCTTTAAAAGAGAGAAGGACTATTTGCTTAAGAGGAGAGAAGGACTATTCTGGCTAAAAAGGGGAGAGGGACCGAGAAGGAGAGGAGCTTTTTCCTGAAAAAAGAAGAGTGGGAGAGCAGGAGCAAGAGACCGAGAGAGATGAGTCTTCTTCTAAAAAAAACAAAGACTGACTAGACTGAGGAAGGAGACTGATCCAAAACTAAAAAAAAGAGAGCCAAAAACGCGAGAGAGAGAGAGAGCCAGAAATAAGAAGCAGAGATGGTGAAGACAAAAATAGAGTAAAAACACGCTGATAACGGGACTTTAGCAAGATGAGAAAAGGAAGAGAAGAGAGAGACTGAGAGAGAGAAAAATAGAGCATAAGAGACGCAGGAGAGAGAAGGAGAAAGAGATTGAGAAAGAGAGAGCACGAGACGAGAGAGGAGGAGCAGAACGCAGCTAGACGAAAAATAAAGAAATAAAATAAATCATGAACAAACCAAAAAACTCAGAAGGAGGAGAGAAAAACCGAGGAAAGAAAGCACAAAAAAAAACAGAGCACACACATGAGGTTGGAGGGAGAGCAAGAGAGAGACAGATATGGAGAATGAAGAGGAAGCTACAATAAAGAGCTTCATGTTGTTGGAGGGGGACTTCGTTGACATCACCACCATCTCCTTTCCTGTGAATTTCACTTGAAGCTGTGAAGGTATTGCTTCTAAGAGTGCTTAGACTGAGTTAGTGACATTCAGCTATAACTTCGTTCTCAAGTGAGATTTTGCTATCTTCGAAGGTTTGGGCTAACTTGTTACTATTTCACTTTTACTTTAGTAATTGAATATGAAAATTAAAAGTGGCTTCATGTTTCATGGTCTAATGAACTATGGTTGATTATTCATGGTGGTTCAGATTAATGGTTTCTCAGTGCCATTTTGTTTTAAAGTTTTCAAATAATGCACTTCATGATTCTGGGTCACAAATTATTACTTTCAACTTCGCTATCTCTACAATTATTAATTTGTTTTATGTCCTATTGATTGTGATGAAACAATTATTATAATTACAATGATAATTTTTGCTACCTGTGGCTCTGGAGTTTCATTTCATTACAGTCATAATTTCCATGGTGACTATTTGTGTTTATCATATTGCAGTGTTCTAATTTCTTCTTTTACATGCCCTGCATAATTTCTTCTTGCTTGTCATTTGCTGTCGGGGTCACGGATGTTGCGATTATTAATTTGTATATATTGTCCATTATTAAAATTAATTCTCTCTTTACACAAAATATTTAAGTTTCATGTGAGATTTCAAGAATGTTCGTAGAGATTTAAATTAATCACATTATCGTGTAGGATAATAAA